TTTTGGTTAGGGTTCAAAATTACAAGACTACAGAGTTGAACAAACCCAAAAATTGGGTCAGCAGTTCAATGACAAATATGAAGTAAAATACATATAATGATAATACTATTAATAAATATTTTTTGATCGTCTACGGCTTGATGTTAGCTAAAAGAAAATTAAATATTTGAATTCATATGAATTATAATCGAATATTTATAAGTGAGGTATCAAACGTTTTAAAAGTTTTCAGTAATCTCCAAGCATTTAGAGCACAAGACAAAGTCCAGACACTTCACATATATCACACGAATGCCATATGCTACTTAAAATGCAAAGAGTGGTAGAAACTTAAATTGTTTTTTATTTATCTAATCTAATTATTGAATCGTAAGTACAACCACTACTAAACTTTAAATTATTCATATTTAAACTGAAAACAATTTATTTCATTCACTTTCTATAGTAACTAGGGAAAAAAATTCAGAAAAAGTTCTAATTTTCATAAATCTTTAGTTTTTACTAGACACCACTTTTTACATTTTTAATCTCTAGTGTCATCCCTATATATAGGGAAACTGAAGTGTTCAATAAACATTAAGATGCAATAATTTCACCATTTACAGTGGAAAGTAATTTACAGATAACTATCGCATGCCTGCAAACTCTTTCTGATTTTCTAGATTTTATCTTTATATTTAATGTGTGACAAAATTTATATATTCATGTGTTGGTAGCGTACAAGTGTTGTTGGTTAGTGTTGACTAAGTACGTGTTATCAAAATTTATTTAGACTAACCCCCATTGCATTCAAATAATGTTGTTGTTGTTGTTGCTAATTCCCATCTGGTCAGACGGGGTCAGACCAGATCAATGAATCCGTTGATATTGAGAAAATCCGAAACCAGAATGGGAGAGGAATGAATATCGTTCCAGTCCAGCCCTAAACAGATCAAGATGTGCTCAGGTGATGCCTGGTTTTGTTGGCATTTAGGGCAAAGAGGAAAGATCTTTTGATTTGCAGAAAATGTGAGACTTTTCAGGTGTCCACTGGCCAGTCGGGATAGGCAGGTGTTGGTTTGCCTGTCGCCAGGAAAAGATAGAGAGAGTCCTGGTCTTTTTGCTTTATACCAGTTGTGAATAGGTGGAAGCAGCCACTTTTGTTTGTTCTGAGCCTTTTGCCTTGCAAAAAGTTCAAGGTATGTAAGCTCTGAGGTGGAGGGGACTGGATGGTCTAGTCCCTTCTTTGCAAGAGTGTCAGCCAAATTCAAATAATTCAAATATATATACAATAAGCCTGCTAGTTCTAAGAAAATATTTTCAAGTGTTGTTTAGATTATAAAGAAAAACCACCTTTCACTTGAATTGGGCTAACCACTAGAAAAAAACTTTTTCTAAGAGCCTGAGAATTTTCTTAATGCTAAGAGAGCATTAAGAAAAAGAAAATTTTGAAACTACCAATACATTTAATTTTGCAGAATAAAGTTTCTTTCAACGATTATATGTAGTTGTTTTCATGAAACCCGAAAACAAAAATACTCAGATGGAACTTTTTTAAGATGCATCTTCAGTATTCCTTCATTTTGGTTCTTTTTTATTTTAAATATTTTGTAACCAAACGTTGAACAGATGACCCGATTCTGAGTTTACGACAACCATTGTTCAACTCCGTAGACTAGTCATTTCGAGCCCAATCCAGAAGACAAGGGGATTCCTAGACTAAGCATTGGGACAAGCCAGCCTTGGATGAAAACTTTCTGAAGGAACATAGCCTCACTTGAGTTGCATGGAGAAGACAACCACGTAAATCTGTTAGATTGATGGCTTGAGGATAATGAACCATGATCCGTATAATACTAACGATATTTTCAAAATCTTATGTCAGCACTGCGATTTTGATCCGAGAGCAGGATTCGTTCTGAAAAGCCAACACTGGGATATCACTTCTGAGAAATATATTAACAGTATACATACATACAACACTCGCGCTAAGCAATCGCCTAAATTCGATAAAATTGTGTTTCGGCTAAAGTAATGGCGAATGATTTTTTTCCACTGGAAAGAAAATATATATTTAACTCGATCCTCAAAATTACGTCTAGTTGAATTTTTCTAAGCAAATCAGTGTTTTTAATTCGATTGCAGAAACTTTCAGTAAATGAGCCGCATAACCAGTTAGAATTGGGTCCAAATAATATAAGTCTGAAACAAACTACCGTAAAATAGTTTTCCATGCGAAAAAAATTATTCATAAAAAATTTTTAGACTTTGCATTTGGGGAAGCACTTTCGAAAATTGGCTAATTTACTCGCTAATAATATGAAATCCTTAGCTGCAAAATAATAGAAAATAGAAAACTTTTAATGGAAAAAAGTAAAGGTCTTCATCAGGACACATCCTTTACTATATATATATAGGTTCAAAATGAAGATAAACAAACAAAGGAAAATTACGGACATATGAAGAAAAAAAAAGGGTGGGGGAAGAAAAAAAAATAAAAAATGATGAGCAACTGAAAAGAAAAAAAAAAGGATAAAATTTTTTTTAAAAATCTGGAAAATAAAAGATACAATTTTTCATCAGCCCATAACCATAATATTGAGATTATTAAAAAGTTAATGCCCCCTAAAAATGCAAAATCATTGCAAAGATTTCTTGGATCAATAAATGTTTACAGTAAATTTATTGATAGTTATGCAAGTATTCGACATCCTTTAAATAACTTGTTAAAGAAAGATGTAAAATGGTCAGAAAAATGTCAACAATCTTTTGAACTTTTAAAAAATGCTATTATTTGTAAACCAATTTTGAAAATTTTTAATCCTAATCATGAATGTCATCTTTTTGTTGATACATCGTTAGCTGGAATTGGTGCTGTGTTAAAACAGACAGATGAATGTGGTGTATTGCATCCTGTAGCTTTTCATTCTCGTTCCTTAAGCTTGTATTTCTTGTGTTTATATATATTTTTTTATATAATATTATGATATAGTATTGTATTTATCGTGCATCTAAAATGTTTTTAAAGGAAATAAATGTGATTCAAACGTCAATTAAATTAGTGACGGCAAACAAAATTAAGTTATTATTTAAACTTTTGTTTCCAAATGATTTTTCTAGATTAAACCGTAACAAAATTTTAAATTTTTCTGAATTTTCTTTTGAACCAAACGATGAAGAATTTTCAAACAAACTACAAGAAATTTGTAATACTTTCAATTTTTCGGACTTAGTCAAAATTTCAGACATTTTAAATATTTCCAGTGAAGGAAATAAAGATGAAATTGCCAAACACATCTTAACTTGTTTATGCGATTTCAATTTTTTAAAAAATTCTTTAGTAATTGAAAATCCCTCTGAAGATGAGGAGGAAACTAAACA